GGTTATGTTCGAACCTCTTACTCTCTAACACTCATTGCCGCCAGCTCTCTCTTCTCTTCCTCTCTTGTTTGTTCATTTTCTGGTTTGCATCTAATATCAAACAGTTCCATACATCAAGTGGGCTGTTTTTCAACTTGTGTCAGCTAAGTAAGCATTGTAGAACCTCGTTTCCTTTGCGTAATAAAATATCGGATTTTCCTTTCCATATTGTGTACTCTGATGTTTGGGGACCTGTTAATATTCCAACTAGGAATGGATACAAGTACTTTATTTATTTTATTGATGATTTTTCACGATTCACTTGGGTGTACCCTATGCACTCATGAGAAAAAGTTCCTAAGCTTGTGAAAGATTTCCAACAAATGGTCTACACCCAATTTCAAACAGAGATTCAGGTCTTTCAATCAGACAATGCCAAGGAGTACTTTCACGGTGACCTCTCCAACTTCTTTACGTCCTGTGGATGCAAGTTCTATTCACAGGAGCTCATGTGCAAGGACTCCCCAACAAAATGGGGTTGCAAAGATAAAAAACCGTCACATCTTAGAAGTTGCTCGAGGACTCTTGTTGCAGATGCAAGTTCCAAAAAGATTTTGGTTGGATGTTGTTATGACTACCACATATATTATCAACAGGATGCCCTCTCGGTTGTTGGAATATAGGTTCCCTCACCAGCTCCTCTTCCCCAAGGCTCTAATGTTTCCCATACCCATCCGTGTCTTTGGGTGCCAGTGCTTCATCCATGATCTCTCCCCTACTCAGGGTAAACTTGATCCTAAGGCTATTATGTGTGTTTTTCTTGGATATCCCCTTTCTCAAAAGGGTTATCGTTGTTTTGATCCAGTTTCAAGGAAATATGTTGTCTCTATGGATGTCTCATTCTTTGAAAACGTTCCCTTCTTTTTTGTTTCTCCTCAGGGGGAGAATCTTGGTGAGGAGAAACAGATACAGATTCCAATCTTATTGCCTTCCCCACCTGACCCTCCTCCATTTCGTGTCTTTCGGAGACAACGTTATAGAAGTCAAGGCCAACAGAGTTCAATAGCCAAGGAACAGCCTAAGACTATGCAATCAATGCCATCGGACTGCCAGGAGCTGAATCAATGCCCTCACCCAGGTACTATTATTCCTGTTAAAACTCCTGAACCCATTGACGTTGACACTTCAAATTGTGATCTAGACCTTCCTATTACAAAAAGGAAGGGGGCTAGATCATGCACCACACACCATCCAATGGCTCAATTCTTATCCTATGAAAATGTGCTTTCCTATCTAAAATTGATAATGTCTCAGTTCCTCCAATGGCTCAATTCTTATCCTATGAAAATGTCTCACCTTCATTTCGTGCTTTCCTATCTAAAATCGATAATGTCTCAGTTCCTAAAAGTGTCACAGATGCTCTCCTTTCTCCTAAGTGGACAGAGGCTATGAATGAAGAAATCAATGCCCTCCACAAAAATGGCACATGGGAGCTGGTGGATCTTCCCGAGGGAAAGGAACCTGTAGGGTGCAAATGGGTGTTCTCTGTGAAACACAAGGCAGACGACACAGTTGAGAGATACAAGGCTAGATTGGTTGCAAAGGGTTTCACACGAGTGTATGGTGTTGACTATGCTGAGAATTTTGTGCCTGTGGCAAAAATGAATTCTATCCGGGTTCTTATCTCTTTGGCGGCAAACCTTGACTGGGAGCTTCATCAACTAGACATTAAAAATGACTTCTTGAATAGGGATTTGGAAGAGGAAGTATACATGACTCAACCTCCTGTTTTTTGTGCTAAGGGTAAGAGCAAAAAGTGTGCAAATTAAAGAAGTCCTTATACGGCCTAAAACAATCACCAAGGGCTTGGTTTAGCAGATTTCACCAGGCAGTTCAACAAATGGGGTTCACGCAATGTCAATCTGATCACACGCTCTTTGTGAAGAAGGAACAAGGGAAAACAACAACTCTGATTGTTTATGTGGATGATATTGTCATTACCGGTGACTAGGTCTCAGAGATACAAAGGTTAAAAAGGTTCCTAGCTACACAATTTGAAGTGAAGGATCTAGGTCCATTGCGTTACTTCCTTGGAATTGAAGTGGCCCGCTCCCAACAGGGCATCTTCATCTCTCAAAGGAAATACACCCTAGATCTCCTGAAAGATACAGGAAAACTTGGGGCCAAACCTGCCAATACTCCTATAGATGTGAATCATAAACTTAGGGACTGTGGTGGTGAGCTTTTGAAGGATCCAAAGCAGTACCACTTGTGGGGAGACTACTTTATCCATGACTAGGCCTAATAAAGCATATGTTGTGGGGGTTCTCAGCCAGTTTATGCATGCTCCTAAGGTAGCACATCTGGAAGTGGCAGACAAGGTACTGAGATATTTGAAGAAATTCCCAGGGACAGGCCTATTGTTCAAGAAGCATGGGCATATAAGAGTTGAAATTTACACTGATGCTGATTGGGCCGGCTCGATAGATGACAAGAAATTCACCAGTGGTTATTGTACCTTTGTAGGGGGAAATCTTGTTACTTGGAGGAATAAGAAACAGAGTGTGGTTGCCCAATCCAGTGCAGAAGCAGAATATAGGGCCATGTCACATGGAGTTGCAGAGCTACTATGGATCAAGAACCTTTTAAGTGAATTGGGTTTCCAAGCTAAAGACCCTATGTCACTCTATTGTGACAACAAAGCAGCTATCAACATTGTTGCAAATTCAGTTCTCCACGATAGAATCAAGCATATTGAAGTTGATAATCATTTTATCGGAGAGAAGCTTGAGAAATGAGAAGTTTGCACCCCTTACATTAGCTCAAAGGAACAACTTGCAGATGTCTTTACTAAGGGATTGAATTCCTTGCGCCATTATGATCTATGTGACAAGTTAGGGATGATTGACATCTATGCCCCAACTTGAGGGGGAGTGATGTAATATTTGGTGTATGCCACAAGGGGTATTTTGGTCTTTTTCTTCCTTTTTTAAGTTGTACAGTCGCCCTAGTATATATAATAAAAAGACTGGTGCTGCCAATATGAGTTTGAGTTTTCTCTCAATCTCTTTCTCTCTTCTCTTCCTCTCCTCTATGCCCACTGCTCTGTTGATTGGAACAATTTTAAAGCAGTTTATACACATGAATAATATGGGCAAATTTCTTAAACTACCCTTACGGTATAACTAATTGACCAACTCTGCCCTTACTTTTTACATATTGTGTTAAAGTATCCCTATTGTTTCTGGCAATTGTCTAAAACTTCCCTTGACATTAATTTTCCGTCACACTCCATTCACAATGACATTACGTGATTGGTATTTTTTAAAACTCCTAACATACCCTTCCTGTAAACTGTTCATCATCCTCAACCTTGAGACTAATAGCAGAACAATGGTGAGTTTCCCATCATTTTCTTCAGCAGCAACCAAAGAATAACCATTTGTGCCTGCATTGTAGGTTATTTGAGAGGAAAAAAAAAAGAATACACGGAGGCTCTTTCTTGTGTTGTGTGGTATCCAGGAAACAAATAAACCGGAAAATAGAACCAAAGAAACATTAAAGCAAGAAACCATCTATGTCTCCCACCTATGCAGCATTCTGTGAATTAGAAGTTTAAAACTTCAAAATTCCAAACGGGTTTCAAGCTTTTGGTGTTTTCAGAAAGATACAATTTTATATAATTCCAATAGATAATCAAAAGAAAAAAAAAGGAGATAAAAACTGCATTTCTTTAACTTGGTAAGTAGTTTTGGATCATGTACCTGAATAAGACAATCTCAAGACTTGACTCAAATTATCTTCCAATTCAAAGGGTTATAACTTATAAACCCAAAACATGAAAAGCTTTCTTCTTGACAAAACAAATATATTAGAAAAAAAAACATGAAAAATAGAGACAAAATCTCTTGACAATCCCCCCTTATTTTCTGATAAGTCATACATAGGAAACGAAAAAAAAAGATCGAGTTGACAATGACCAGTGACTCAGCCATGATTATTGTCAATCCATTTACCACATACAGCAAAGATATCGCATCAGAACAATGGTCGTCTATTAGCAACATTAAACAACCTAAAATGTAAAAGAGAACAATGGAAGAGCAAACGAAAAAATATGGGAAAAGGACATTAAAGAACATTGTTGGGGACATGTTGAGACCTCAAGTTCCCCATCGTTGCCTTGTTGTAATAAAAAACCTCTCATGCACTTTTCAAAATTCTCTTGAGCTTCTTGAATTCAACCCCAGGTATTTCTACTGCCCTCGCATGTATTCCCGGTACCTCTTACAGAAGTCCATTTACTCCTCCTCCTCCTCCTCCTCTCCTTCTTCTTCTTCTTCAACAAAATTATGAAGATTTCTCACCGGTCACAGAAATTCCTTGTCTTGTTTCACAAGTTCTCGAACACTCAAAGTGGCACAACAGAGCAATAAAAACGACAGTCCAGAAGTTGAAGGATCTGTATTTTGGTTTCTATCTCTGATGTGATAACAATCCTCACTTCCCTTTTTCGGTTTTCTTTTGGTGGAAGTTGCTTTTGGCATACTTTGTTGTTGAGAGGTTTTTACGTATCTGAAGCATCATCATTGGAGCTCCGATCTGTTTCCTCTTATTATTCAATTTTTTCAGTTTTTATTTTGAAAATTTGAGAAATAACCAGGATAAATTTGACATTTCACTTCTTTATTGGCAACGATAGAATAATTACATTAAGAGTAAATTTAGTCAATTAGATAAAGTTTTTTAGGCTACGTTGGGTTTCAATCCAAACGCAAATATCTATACCACATATTTACCCATTTTCGGTTGATGAATATAAATATGGTTTACATTTTAAATTGTTTTTGCATTCATCTTA